GGTATGCCATCACGACTACTGACAGGAGCTGCGTGGGTGCAGAGGAACAAAGTCTACACTCGCTGGAGTAGACAATGCTGAATGAGAGTACGTGCACGACCTACGCATAAAAAGAGGCCCCTTTCTCATTGCCCAAGTTTCTGATCGGAGTTTGATTAACCTCGGTCCTGTCACGGAGTTTATTCACGGGTCCTATTGGTTAAATACAGACCCTACTTTAGGCAAAACACAAAGTGCGTACAGTCTCAGAGAAACGAAAAATTAATTGCTACTTCAGTTTATTAAATTTCCTATATATTTACACTTATTTTTATTTGCATTTATTTAACACGGTCTAACAACTTACTAATTATTCCGATTTGAAGAAAACTATTTTCCTAACTCTCTGTGCTAGTGCTAACGTGGACTAACACTTACAGTGTTTCAGCTACCCCGTAATGTTTCCCCCGCTTTCATTATGAACTGAAACACGCATATGAACAGACCCCCCCCCCTCCCCACCCACACAATCTGCTGACAGTGGGCGAGGCGCCTGGCACATAGGCTATCAGCCCATCCACAACAGTTCATAAAGTGAATTTAGTTTTAGCTGTAAAAAGCAGCAGGGAGACGCGTGGGTCTGACTCATTTAATGGGATGACTTGACTCGCAGCGCGCCACAGAGCGAGTGGGAGGAGGAGCTACCTGCTGCCAGTAGCTACTGCCAGGGAAGCCGAACGCGCGTGGGCTCTCACACAGCAGGGTCCTCCATCAGAAGCTGACGGCTGCTCAGCTAGTCAAAAAAAAATTATCCGCCTGTTATGGAACCTGAAGAGAACGCCAGACGAATCCAATCCAAAAATTCCCACTTTTTCCCTTTCAAGCACGCCTGTTCTTACGAGAGGCGTCTATATTCTCATTCGGCGTTCTTGACACAATTTTGCATTTTCTTCTGATCTCCACGTTCGCGCCACATCTCCGCCCACGCAATCCGTCCTCTTTGATTTCATCATCCTAATAACACGCAATTAAAGGCACACATTATCAAGTTTCCTCGTCATCCCGTCATTTCGTCCCTCTTCGGTCCGAATATTCCTCTCAGCACCCTGTTCTCGAACGCCTCCAAACCCTGGTCTACCCTCAACGCGCGAGAAGCGTCAAACGCACTAAACCACAGATAAAATTATATTTACGTATATTTTAGTATTTACCATTTTAGGTAGCAGACGGGAAGATTAAACATTTTTAACTGCAAGATAGTACGCATTACTCGAATTCATTCGCGGGGTTTTGCGAACAAGTTATTAAACTTCGGGTTCCTTAAAACCTGCCCTTCTATATTGACCAGCTAAGCAAGTACGAGCTCCTCAGAAATGACTCTGGTCCATCAAAATAGCTAGTGACAAAGCAGACTAAATCGTGGACCTTTCGCGAGCACTCCCTTGTCGACCTCCTCCCAACTACGCCTTACCTGCAAGGCGCCAGTGCTACATCCCGCCAAGCCAGTTGATGAGTTTCGATTTCCGTCAATTCTGCTGCTTAATACTCATTGCTTTGTGATAATCCACCCCATTCAACGCTGGGTTTTCTCTATTAACGAGGATCATGTTTGGGGAGGGAATCCACCCTAGCTTTTATACAGTATTTAGTCACCCTCATGAAACTCTTTCATCCCCTAGCCATTCGCTGCGCACACATGTCGGACTGAATGTAGACCGAGTACCAAAACAAGAAATAAAGCTGATGAGTCGTTCGTATTTAGACCGGGACAAGGGTGTTTGTCCGAGTTTCTGTGTGTCCCACGTCGATCTGGGGCACGCTCTACCATCTGTGGACTCCTTGGTCACCCGTCAGCATGATGTTACTCTGCACACAGACATTCATTACTCCCGAGGTCGTCAGCGTATTCTCGACAATGCAGGTCATATGACGTCAATAAATGAAGGCTACTGACTGGGAAAAATGTTCAATTAAACAGTGGCCGATTTAAAACGACTATCCGATCCAAAGCCAACGAACAAAAGAAAGTACTGTAACCTTAAGCACTGACCGACTGAAGCCGAAGACAGTCTAAACAATATTTAAGAATTCAGTCCGTACTGCAAAGAAAACACAACAATTCACCATTACAAAGATTAAATGGTTAACGCTGTTTAAGGAAATAATCGATGTTTACAGCGAGACAAAACGCACAATTACTGAACGTTAAAGCAGGTGGTACATACAAATCCCAGTGGGATTTAAAAGTTATAGGGCGTCGAATTTCAACGCTTGCCAGTTTTTTCTCGCCAACATTTCTCTGGATCAATCGACGCTCGTCTCGATCACCGTGTTTCTAGTGTAGGCAGGTAGGTAGTCGGTTGACTGAGTCCGCTCAGCTCCTGATTCGCTTCTCCTCCGCCTGTCCGTACGATCTCAATCGAGAGGACTTTAATATTCGGACGGCCAGACGCGATCAGTCAGCGCGTATCAGAGTTATCTCGTTGTTTTTATCTTGATTAATCTTCCTTCCGGCAGTGGAGACGCAATGCGAGGGTCCTCAGGGACGCTCGAACATCGATCCCGAGATTCATCTGTCTCTGCTCCATTACTTAGCAGAGGCGGATCCACCTTCTAGCCGCACTCCGAAACAAGCGAGGAACGACAGCAGTTGCAACTGAAAGCGAATGTCGTCATCCAGAGAAATAAGCTTTTGGTGAGATTTCAGGTTCACTGGGCAGAGGCGAGTCAGTCAGTTGCATCACGCTCCTCCCGCTTTGACCCCGGGAACAGAAAACATACGCACTGTTCACACGTTCTGCTCCATTTCCAGTGAACTGTACCGAGGTCTCTCTAAGCCATGACGTCACACAAACAGCAGCCGTCGACAAAGTATGTCAGTGTCTTAAGTGCATACGTACGTCGGCGATCCAGCTATGCCACTTGGGTGGATCGCTTCTGTTACGTTTTTCAACCTTGGCTGCTGTGTGCAGGCAACTTTCTCTTCAATTCCAATGGCCCTCACTCGTTGGCCTATTATCTCGCCGTCATGGTTTTACCGAAGGAGCTCAATGCAACCGAGCCCTTGAGAAATTAAGAGCACTGCCTTCAAGCGATCAAGCAATTCTCCGCCTTTTATGGAACCATAAGGTTCATGACCGTGTTCACAAGAACCTGTCAGCGGCCCTATCCTGAGCCAGATGAATTCAATCCACACCCTCTAACCCTTATTCACTAAGACGCATTTTAATATCAACCGTCCATCTACGCGTAGATCTTCCTAGTGGTTTCTTCACTTCAGACGTCCCCGCCAAAATTTTACATCTGTTTCCGATTTCCCCACTGCGGAGTCAAAATAAATGTCAGAATTGCAGACGGCTGACTCTCCGCTAACAACAGCACAAGTTAAATGCAAATCGAGGGTAAGTTTGTGGCGGTGTATGAGGGTAAAGTGAGTGACTACT